TAACCTGGGATTAGGATCAACAGGCTAAATAAAGGACCGTCGGATGGATGAAAGCCCCGGAGTGGAGGAGTGAACGAGCTGAAGAGAAGTTACTCTAACGTAAAGGCTGTGAGATTACGTGACACCATGCTGAGAAACCCGGGGACCTATGCGAACAAGAAAAGGAAGAAGCCCGCCCTCAAACAGTAAGTTACTGTTTTTACTGTTTACCTTATAATAATAGCAGAGTTACCGCTGTTAATAACAGCATTATGACCATACGTGTTAGCGTGACGGTAGGACAAAAAGCCGTAAGCAGGAACTAACTTGTAGTTCACTTTAAATCTCTGTGCGAGTAAGGTGACTGAAGTTAAACACCGCTTTGCTTTGATAAGTGCACTCTCGCTTACTTCGCTGTCAAGTTGTGAAATCAACCAGTGGTGGAAATGACAGATTAAACCAATTAAGGTGGACTGTGTTCTCCCGTTATCGCCGAGTCAGCTGTGTGTAATTATAAAGCCGTATACTTGTTGTGTTTGCTGAAATGTGGCGTGTTTCTGCGAGTCCTCCTTTAGGACCACCTTAAGAATGCGCCTCCATGCTGGATCTGGCATGGATATCTTGCCCTCGCGCATTAATCACAATCAAGTTTGAGAGTCGGCTGCTGCTCTCACGCGATGCTGCGGGGAGGGCGGGGGTGGAGGAAGAGGAGCGCGAGCCTCTGATGTTATTGTAATGTGATACGGCCTCGCGCCGTGTGCGCCTTTCTCGCTCTTTTCCACACTATTGTTTATTTCTAGCTTTTAATGCGCAGTTACACGAACACGCGGGTACTTAAATGACTTTGACATTACTTCTGTTTTTGTTAACCAGATGCGTGAAGCGTAGGCCACCGCCTCTGATCGTTTCATTGGGAGTTTTCTTACTTTCAATTACTTTTGTTTATTGTGACTTTCTGTGCGTTACACATTACATTAATAACGCGAGACAATCTTTTAGTGTAAGCTCTTGATGTTTAGCACTGATGAAAATCTGCGTCTGTGTGTTAAAGCAAGTTTCTGCCTGCAGGTTATTGTGCTGTGATAGGCCCTGTGTGTGTGTGTGTTCCTGTCTAGCTATCTTTGTGAGGACCCAAATCTGCATTCTACTATACTTGTGAGAACCAACAGTCACTTGTGAGGACACACAAGTTTGAAGCCTTTTTGAGGCTCAAAATGTGGTTTTAGTGTCAGGGTTACAGTTAGGTTATGGTTATGGTGAACCTTATTATACAGCAGATTGTTACACTAGCGTGACCTATATAGTCAAATTTCCTAAATACCAACTTCCAAGACTTAC